TTTTAATTAAAAGTATTGTAAATGTATTTCATGCAATGATCCTTAGAAGAGTGTTCACCGTATAGTGGTACTTGTTAGTGGATTTGGAATTATTTTTACTTCCTTCTTTGGTTATAATATGCTTGAATTTTTCCACCCAATATGGTAGTTGCATGTTTATTTTGTGGTACTAGGGATAGAACCCAGGCCTTGCACTGAGCTATATTACCAGCTTTTTTTTTTTTTTTTTTTTATACCGGGGATCGAACTCGGGTCCTTCCGCTTTCAAGGAAGGTGGCAAAACCACTGAGCTAAATCCCCAACCCTATTACCAGATTTAAAAAAAAATTTTTTGTTAGTACATGTTTCTGTACATAATGATTACATTCATTGTGGGAAATTGGTATACATAACACATCTCAATTCTTCTTTTCCTCTCCCCTGCCTCCCCTTTTTGCCAGTCACTCATTTACCTTGTAAGTCCTTATAAAGTTAATTATCATACATACAGATCAATAGCCAGACTATCAGGCAAAAAAACATAAGACACATAAGAGAATTACTCTAAATCTAGGTACTCTTTTAACATTGTCCATGCTGGATCACAGTAACATTTTTCCCCTTTTTGCCTGTGTCTGATCTATTTCACTTAACATTATGGTCTCAAGGTACATCCATTTTCCTACAAATGACTCATTTGTCCTTCTTTATGGCAGAGTTGTACTCCATTGTGTATAAATAGCACATATTCTTTACCCAATTATCTGTTGACGGACATACAAGCTGATTATGAATTGTGCTGCTATAAAATGGGTATGCATACATCACTGTGTATGATATCTTTAACTTTTTATTACAGCCCCTTTTAATGTTTTTTTTTTGAGACAGGATCTTGCTCAGTTGCCCAGGCTGGCCTTGATCTTGCAATTCTCTTGCATCAGCCTCCCATGTAGCTGGGATTACAGGCATGCATCATTGTGCCAGGCTCTAATAATGCTTTTACAATGAAAAACTAAACCAATTTTTTTAAAAAAAACAAAAACCTATCACCAGCTAATATCTAATTGCAACTGTCATTTATTTAAAAGAAGACTGTCAGTACCAGACTGAAAAACTTGTTAATCTATGTTCTTAATGAACAATACTGCATCTCCAGGCAGCTGCTATCAACTGCTACATCAATGGAACTGAACAGTTCTGCAGGGTTACCACTGGCCCCACAGAAGAAAGGAACCTGGTCAGCAGGTGGAGACGTGACAGCGGGCAGAGTAAGCAGCTATGATGAGAAAGCTATAAGGATGAAAGATGACATCTGCTTGAAGCAATAGTGCTTAAAGTGGTGTAGTCCAGGTAACTTTGGGGACCTCTGAGACCCTTTCAGTCTGTGGGGTGAAAACCATTTTTACAGCAGTACAAGACTTTGCCTTTTCCACTTTCATTCACAAATGGAAGTTTCAGGAAGCTACTTGACAAATAAGATTGAATTTTAAAAATCAGGTGTGAGAATCCAGCTATCTTCCATTATACCATCAAGTAAAGAGATTTACAAAACTAACTTAACATTGCCACCTTTGCTATTTTCTTTTGTTTAGGAATATTTATTCTTCATGAAAGTTATTTATATTAACATGTTATGGGTTTATTATGGTTATTTTCTACTTAATGTTTTTAAATTTGCTTTAATTTCTAGTATGATCAAAGTGCATAGCTATAAGTCATATAAAGATACTGAGGTTCTCGGTGATTTTCAGGATAAAGGAATCCTGAGAACAAAAACTGTGAGATCTGCTGGTGCAGAGGAACCAAGAATTAACATAGTAGGAGAAGAGGGACTTGCTTGTCTCCAGCCAGACTTGTTAACCTGGAGCGGCAGAAATAACGAAATCTGGAGCAGCCTCGGCCACTCAGCAGCTGTGTGGCTTTCACAACAATCCCTGCCCTCCATGTCAAACGGTAGCCACGGGAGGGCACTGGGCCCGCACCCCGCATTAAACGACCGCGGCCACAGCGAGATGGGTACAGGGACCCTCGTGTGGCCGCGGGAAAGCGAGGCTCAGCGAACTTGAACAACTCGCTCGAGGTCGCAAGACCGCGCGTGCGGCACTGGGATTCGGACCCACTCAGGCAGGTCCAGGGCCAACTCACGCTTCCCGCCCTTTTAAAGCCGCAGGGACAGGAGGGCGGCGCTGAGGAAACTTCCCGGGAAACGTGATTTGACCACGGCCCGCGCCGGACACCCGGGGAGCCGAATCGGCTGACACTCCCCGCCCCCCGCTCTTCCGCACCGGCTGTCCTCGACTGCATCCGCGTAGATTTCCACTCGGAAGAGGTCCCCTGCCGCTTCATGCTCCTTCACGCGTTCCTCCCTTGTTCGCCTTGGTTTCCACTCAGAGAGTGAGCCGCCGTGCGCGCGACCAGAGAAGCGCGACCTCCACGGCGGCGCGAGACCTGCGCGTCCCCGACGCCCGCGCCCCAGCCACCCTGCGCAAGCGCAATCGCCAGCTTCCCGCCCAGGAAGCCCGGAAGTGCTTCTTTGGGTAGCGGAGAAAGGAGACCCCAGAGCACTTAGGTGTACAGGTGGCAGGAGTGTGTTGTCAATATGCAGCGGTTGCTCCTTCCTTCATTGAAGGCCTTGATGGGGAGCCGGTGTGTACGGCTTCTGGTTCCTAGGGAGGCTCCCAAAGCACAGGTACTGAACTGCCACAGGCTCCCATCACAGAGGGGGATGGGGCCAAAGGCCAGGATAAAGATCTTGGAGAGCCCCACCTCACGTTACTTTAGATCCTTACATTTCACAACGCGTTTCCTTGTGTCCTGAGCTCCTCGCGTTCAGATTCGGTCGCTTGTTGCTAGCTTTGTGTTATTGGCCATATTATTTAAACTTTCTGTGCCTCAGTTTCCTTATCTGTAAAATGGGGATAGCAGTACCTACTTAATGTTGTTATGAGAATTAAATAATATAATGGAAACTTTAGTGCAAGGTAAAAGTTCAGTATTTTTTAACTGCATATTGATTTTTGCTAAAAGCCCCCATGTAATCAGGAACTACTCTAAAAACCCATTGTACAGAAAAAGAAATTGAGGTCGGCTGTAGTGGCGCACGCCTGCGATCCCAGCACTTGGGAAGGTGAGGCAGGAGGTTCGCTATGAGATGGAGGCCAGCCTGAACTGCATAGGGAGACCCTCTCTCAAAAAAAAAAAAAAAAAAAAAAATCGAGACTTAATTTAAGTTGCCTGTCTAAAGTTACTGAGAAGTAGGAAACTGAACTTAAATGTTTTACGGATAGAGCCAAAAGAGGGCATGTATTCATTGAACTAACAATTGTTGGGAAATTATTATATGTTAGGAAATGGAAAGAGAAATACTACAAAGCTTCCTCCTTGGAATTTACACTTCATTTGTTAATTTTTAAGGTTTTGTGATGTATGGGCACCGTGTCTTAGAAACAAAGATAGCAGGAAGATAAGAGTTAAGATTGATCAGACCCTGCCATCCAGGGCTCATAGATTAGTGAGAGAGCCAAGTCGGTGTTTTAAGAACTCTGATAGGGCTCGTGCTGTGGACTGTGAGAGTGACCTGTTGTAGGCTGCAGAGTTTGGGACACTCCTGGAAGAAGTGTAGTAAGGTTTATAGTATTATCAATCAGGGAACAAGAAGTGCTCCAGAGAGAAATTACGTTTAAAAGACCCAGAGAAGAAAGAAAATTATCTATGTCTATGTGTAAAGTGAAATCTGAGAAAAGTGTGTAGAGAACAGAAAATTGATGTTGTATGTGGACAGGTTGGCATGAGGCAAGACTTGAGGCAGGAACCATTTTGGAAGGTGGATGCAGTAGTCCAGATAAGAATGATGTTTTAGGGGCTGGGGATTTAACTCAGTGGTTCCATCGCTTGCCTTGCAAGCACAAGGACCCGAGTTCAATCCCCGGTACCAAAAAAAAAAAAAAAAGAATGATGTTTTATCAAAGCAGTAGCTGTGGAGATGCAGCCATTGAGATGCAGCCTTTTCCTATATCTTTAGTTGTAATTGTCTGTTTTGATCTTTAGTGTGGTTGCAGCTATGGCATCAGGAGCCCTCTAAGGCCAGGGCAATACAGCACCATCACTGAAGTGGCTTTACAATCTGGAAAGGCTACAGTGTCCCTTCCTTCAAAGGCTGCTGAGCGAGTAGTGGGCCGATGGCTCCTGGTCTGCAGTGGAACAGTGGCTGGAGCAGTTATTCTTGGTGGAGTAACTAGGTGAGTAATTTGCATGTAGTGAGTCAGGTATTTGGGTTATCATTAGAAGCACAGGATGCTTGAGGGGAAGGGAACCTTAAGGATGATCTAGTGTAGCTCTCTCATTTTACAGATGGAGAAACCAAGGCTTTAAAGAGGGACTATATCTGATGGGTTTCCCTGTCATAAAACAGGTTAGTATAAGTAGGAGCCTGTTATAAAGATTGGTTTAAGTCTTAACTAGCAGTTTTGAATTGTTTGTTTTCCCTCTTCAGTGAATTCCCTTTCTCAATTTACTTCCCCCATCTCAATTTTATTTGAACTTTTTTCACAGTTTCTTTGAATTAATCCCAATACATCACAGTTCCATATATCACAGTTGATTCATATCTTAAATTTTAAGTTTGTAAACAGACTTTATAGATTTAAGCACTCCTTTACTCCCCCTTTGCAATTTTGTGTTGCTGTTGTTGACACCCAAGTCATTTTCTATAGCAACCCACAGTCTGGATTTTGCTGGTTAGATTGTCCCAGGTACCATTCTCCTCTGTACATCCTGTAAATGAGTATTTCTTGATCAGATTCAAATTAAGGATAAAGGACCAAAACACTTAATAGGTGATTAGAGCATTCACAGATATCTGGTGTTTCTTAAAAGATTTCAACAGCCATTGATTACTATTACCTACAGTTATAAAATTATAAATTTTTTTTTTTTTGGTACCAGGGATCGAACTTGGGACCTTGCACTTGCAAGGCAGGTGCTGGAACCACTGAGCTAAATCCCTGGCCCAAGAATGATATTTAAAAACTCAAATACTTTGTTGCCTTTGGAAGGTCTTGGGAATTAATTTATTATTTTGAAAATTGGTAAATAAAGGGAAAGAATCAAGTATTTGTCTTGCCTTTTCCATAAAAAAATTGTATCTTAGAATAACCAAATTGCTGATGAGGAAAAGTTTCTCTTTAAAACTGAGCATATAAATATTATAATTTGGGGCCCGGGATTTAGCTTAGTGGTTCTGCCACCTGCCTCACAAGTGCAAGGACCCAAGTTCAATCCCCAGTACCAAAAACAAAACAAAACAAAAAAATAAAGATCATTCTAAGCTCATAGATATAAACACATTTGATATATTTTAGTCCATGGTGGTGATGATGTAAATGATTTGCTTAAACTGTCCCATCTTTTTAGTCAGTAGGGGTCTCTTGAAATTAGCTCCAATATCTTTTTGACAGGACCCTAGTTACCTTTGATTGCTTCCTTTCTAGTGTCATGAGGTATTCCAGGTACATTCTTGCCTAAGGCCTAAAATTAGCTTTTATTTTAGGGTCCTTGATTGCTTTCAGTTTTCTTTCTTTTTTTTGTCATCAGTTTATTTACAAACATACCTAGTATGCCATGTGAATTCAAGAGTTTGATCTATTTCCAAAGAGATTACACCTCTTGAGATAAATTCCTCACATCTGTGAAAGGGTATAAATTAGAACATCCTTATTTCTTAAACAATTACTGTCTGACTATAAAGAAAGGTACCACAAATCCAGATGTAAGATACAAGGTCATTATAGCCAGTAACTTCCTCTTGTTTTCCACTGAAAATGGCAAATTCTTCCCAGGGGCCCTCCTGGTAGTACACCGCCGAGGTTGTGAATGTCTGGATCAATTTTCTGGTTTTCATGAAGTGTGTGTTCCCCATATACTCTTATTCCCCCGCTTTAATATACCATAAGTGCCATATATCCTGTTTTAGGAAACTACATGACGACAACAAATTTGAATATTATTATCTTTAAATCCACAGAGAACCTAAACCTGTATACCTGTAAGAAATGTTTCCCCTGCATAAAGAATGTTGGTTATCAGAGAGAGTGGAGAGAGAGGGCAGGGAGAAGAGAAGGCAAACACAATCAAAGCACAATATGTGCATGTATATTTGTTGTAGAGAAACCCACTAATTTGTAAAATTAATAAGTATTGATAATTACAGTTTCAAAAGAGAATATTAGTGGCTAGAGGTGTAGTTCAGTGGTAGAGCATTTGCAATCCCTAGCACAAAAACAAAAACAGAAAAAGCTGGTTATGCATTTAGGACACTTTTTGGATGGTTTTGGCCGTCAAGTAATGCTAGTGGGGAGAGCTGAATGGAAAAATTGAGCAAATAAGAGGGTAAAGAAATCAGTCCCTGATGACAGTTATTTCTCACAAACTTCTAAGCAGTAAGAGAAAAGGTATCAAAAGAGGAGCCAATGAAATTATGTGTTTACTTTTATTGGGGTTAAGATCTACTTGTTGCTGTAAACCGTATATGACTAATTTAGCGTCATACACTCAAAAAATTACTTCCTATCCTAAGGTTGACAGAGTCTGGCCTCTCCATGGTAGATTGGCATTTAATAAAGGAGATGAAGCCACCTACAAGCCAAGAGGAATGGGAAGCAGAATTCCAAAAGTACCAGCAATTTCCAGAATTTAAAATGTAAGTATTAGATCTGGTATGAGAAACTGAAAGTGTAAATAAGGATCGAAAGGCATAATAGATAATGTGAAATAGGAAGGAAAGGTCCAAAGGGGAAGGGGAAGTGGGAAGGGTTGGGGAAAAGAAAGAAGGGAATGGAATTAATATGAGAAAAGGAAAAAAAGGAAACAAAGTCTTTGTAAATAGGGAAGGGTGGAGGGGTTGAAGGGAAGGCAGGGGAATGGGGAAAATTAAGAACCAAGATATATTTATGTAAAGGTACAGATTTTCAGTGATAAATGTCATTATATTGTATACCTAAAATGTATCAATAAAATTAAAAAATAAGAAAAAAAGCAGGTAAACATCCATTAGCCCCATTTTTAGTCTTATTTGAAACCCTACAGAATGTTTAGATTCCTTTTTTTTTTCTCTTTTCTTCCTTTTTTTTGAGACAGTCTCACTGAGTAGTTCAGTATGGCCTGAAACTCACTATGTAGCCAGACTGGTCTCAAACTCACAATCCTCCTTCCTCAGCCTCCCCAGTGCTGGGATTACAGGTATGTGCAATTGTGCCTAGCTAGATTCCTTTATTTCCTGATCATTGGTTCAGGTAATTAATGAGCTACCTATTCTAACATCTAAGTCCAAAGTCATCCTGAAGTTGCTAAAAAGGAATAGGGCGGACCTATTAAACTGCAAGTCTGAGAATGTTTCTGCATTCCATAGAGGAATAAAAATCAGGTGGATGTATCCTCTTTCTTTATTTGTGACTTCCTGTTTCACCCAGCTTGAATCATGATATGACACTGGTGGAATTCAAGTTCATCTGGTACATGGAGTACTCACACCGCATGTGGGGTCGTGTTGTAGGTCTTGCATACATCCTTCCTGCTGCCTACTTTTGGAGAAAGGGCTGGCTAAATCGTGGCATGAAAGGTCGTGTTCTTGCTCTCTGTGGCTTAGTCTGCTTCCAGGTAAGATTTATTCAAGGTTGGGAAACTACAGATGCTTCAAGGAGCTTCCTAGCTGGCATTTCTAAGGAAGTAATCTTTGAAGCACTGTAACAGAGTAGGTAAGAGTATGCATTTTAGTGTCACAGGCTTGGCTTCAAGCCCTAGCTCTGCCACTTAGTAGGGCAAGCTATCTGGTCTTTGCAAACTATGATTTCCTTACCTTTAAATCCAGATAATAATAATGCCTGTCATTTAGAGTTTGTAGATATTAAATGAGACAGTAACATAAAAAATACTTATCTGAGTGCCTGGTGTCAGTAAGTGCTCAAAAAATACATATTCATGTATCACAAGAAGTAGAGTGGGTCCCATCGTGGGTCTCCTCCTGGGTTCTCTTCCCTTTTTCTTAGAGAGTGGAATATCTATGCTAGAATGGTTCCAGAGGCAAATAGGAAAACTCCAAAAGAGAGAAACACTTTGTGGGATGAAGGATCTTAGAATACAGATTTACCTGAGAGATATTCAGATATAAATAATAATTAAAATCATTTAAGTAGGGGCCAGGAATGTAACTCAGTGGTACAGCATCTGCCTGGCAAGTGCAAGTCCCTGAGTTCGATTCCCCATACCAAAAAAATAAAAATAATAAAGTAATTTAAGTTAAATTCCTTTAAGGGAAGAAAGCTCTGAAAGACTCCCACAATTAAGAGGTTGGGTAAAGGTGACCAGCAAGGAAAGGAATTATGAGAGAAGACACTTAAAAATATGTGGATCAAAGTATAATGGTTCCAAGGGAGAGGATCAGAGAAATATCAAAATTTGATCAGGAAGAAGCTAGTTGGTTAACTTAGAAGTGACAAGAAGATGAACCAATTAGAAGGGATTAAGGGGACAATAGAAACAGTAAGGAATTAGACATTAATAAAAGTCTAATAGAGCTGGATGTGGTAGCACACACCTGTAATCCCAGCACTTGAGACGCTGAGGCAGGAGGATCACCATGAATTCAAGGCCAGCCTCAACTACATAGGAAGATCTTGTCTCAAAAAGCCAAAAGAAATTTTTTTTTTTTTTTTTGGAACTGAGGATTGAACTCTGGTCCTTGCACTTGCAAGGCAGGCGGCGGAACCACTGAGCTAAATCCCCAGCCCACCAAAAGAAATTTGTAAAAAGTCTAATAGTAACTGGGGAAAGTTAGATGGATCAAAATCAAACTTCATATTTTAGAATCAAGCCAACACTAAAAATAGATTTCCAGGAAGGAAGAAATTTAAAATGTCAAAGTTATGGGAGGAAGAAAAGTGAGGGCTGGTGAATTATACTGTATATGCCTTCCTCTTCCAGTGTCTTGTGCAGCTGAAATCAGGGTAATTAGAATAGCCAGGTAATCTTGAAAGGGGAAAGAAATGCCCAAAACGATTTCCTGAGGAGTATGTACTTGGATGAAGTAGGAGAATCCCACCTCTTCAACCTGATTCTACTGCTTTAGGAGAACAGGTGTGAAGGGACTATATTATATTTGATATAATTGGAACAGTTGTTTGGTTGATTGAAAAAGCCAGTTATAGGGCCAGGGATTTAGCTCAGTGGTTCCGCTGCCTGCCTCGAAAGCACAAGGTCCCGAGTTCGATCCCCAGTACCAAAACAAAAGAAGAAGGAAAAAGCCAGTTACAGCAGAGAAGAATCATAAAATATGATACATAATGTAAATGTCTAAATTTAGACATGTATTTTCACTGTCATCTTTTTTTTTTTCTTTTCAGTCTAGGGCTAAGGCTTTTTGACTGAGTCCCCAGATTAGAGTTCAACTTCATATTTCTTGTACCTCCATAAACTATGTTTTCCAGTTTCATTTTCTTAAAAAAAGAGAGAGAGGGAGGGAGAGTGGAAACTCAGATATTTGCAAAGCAGTCTGTCTACAAGGCCTTACAGAGTTGTATGACTTCCCCGTAAAACTTTTTTTTTCTTGAGACAAGGTCTCACTATGTAGTTCAGGCTGATCTTGAACTCAGCTATGTACTTCAGGCTGGCTTTGAATTCATGATGATCCTCCTGCATCAGCCTCCCAAGTGGTGTGATTACAGGTGCGTGCCACCACCCCCAGCTCCAAAACTTTAATAATTGCCTTATTGCCACCTGATTTGACAGTATTTCTTCTTAAGCAGTTAAGCTTTTTCAAAGCAATCAATGTAGTTTTCATAAAGTCAACTCTCTTTTTATTCATTGGTTTACATAATGTTAAATTATCTCAACAATTTGTAAGATTTTGCATATAATGATAAATTTTTGTACTTTTTTATATTTGGATTATAGTTCAGTAAAACATTAGTGGTAAAGTACTGATAGTAATAAGTATGGAACTGTGATTAAGTCATGATTCTTTAGATATGAGAGGATATGGAAGGAAAGGTCAGGAAGGGAGTAAAATAGTTTCAACTTAGATTTGCCTTTCCTCTTTTGGATTCTAGGGTCTGTTGGGATGGTACATGGTGAAAAGTGGATTAGAAGAAAAACCAGATTCTTATGACATCCCTCGGGTCAGTCAGTACCGCCTTGCTGCCCACCTTGGGTCAGCCCTTGTTCTTTATTGTGCCAGCCTGTGGACCTCACTCTCCCTGCTGCTCCCTCAACACAAGGTAAAAGTCAGTCTGTGGATTTTTATCACATCTGCACATATGCTAACAGGGTCAGAAAATGGAAATTTTGATTCTGAGGAGAAATTACAAGTCAAACTTCAGATTCCCTTAAAGTAATATCTATCTCAATTTTCCAGAAACAAGATTGTACTAAAGTTTAGAGATATACTGAATGTTGGGACTTCAGATACTTTTGAGACTGCAAAAGCAAAACGTGTGTGTGTGTGTGTGTGTGTGTGTGTGTGTGTGTGTGTGTATTTGGGGGAGGAGCTAGAACAATTCATTTAAAGAGAAATTAGCATAGGAGCTGAATTTTTTTTAAATTGTGATAAAATATAACAAAATTTTTCATCCTATTTTTAAGTATATAGTTCAGTAATGTTAAATGTATTCACAATATTGTACAACTGATCTTCAAAAGTTTTTGATGTCCATTAAACAATAACTCCCCTTTTCCCCCTTCCCTTTGCCCCTGGCAACTACAAGTTACTTTCTGTATGAATTTGACTACTCTAGATAACCTCATATAAGTGGAATAATACAGTATTTGTCTTTTTGTGACTGGCTTATTTCATGTATCATTATTTCCTCCAAGTTAACTCATGATGTAGCATGTGTCAAAATTCCTTTTTTAGGGCACAATAATGTTCCATTGTACATATAAATGACATTTTGTCTACCTGTCTGTCAATGGACATTGCTTACTTCCATTTTTTAGCTATTGAAAATAATGCTACTATGAATCTGGGTGTACAAAATATCCTTTTGGTTTCAGTTCTTTTGGATATATATCTAGAAGTGGAATTGCTGGAGCATATAAGAGCTGAATACTTTGTCTCATTGTCTATTGGGGAAAGGTGCAAATATAAATTTTAAGGGAAAAGTGAGGAGTACCAACAATAAGAGATATCCCAAACATTTTAACTTCTGACTTTTAGAAAGGATAGTGGATAGGAAGGCAAGGCAGGCTAGAAAAGAAGTATATCTGAACTTTTGGTGGTGTACATGAGCCATGTTGTTCATTGTTTGTTAAATAGGAACCTACCATTCAAATTTCACGTATATGTGATTTTGTCTAAAAGGATTTTCTGTATGCAGATTTTCCTTTAGGGAAATAGGAGTTTTTATATTTTATGCTTTGATATAAAAGCAAGGTATGACTATTTTTGAAGCCATCATTTATAATAGAGGTCTTAACCACACCCTTCAGGACACTTTTTTTCTAGTATTTTAAAACAGTGATGGGGGCTGGGGATTTAGCTCAGTGCTTCTCCCGCCTCCCTGGCAAGCGCAAGGTCCTGAGTTCGATCCCTGGTCCCAAAAAACCCCCAAAAAACAGTGATAGGGATGTAGCTCAGCAGTAGAGTGCCTGCCTAGCATACACAAAGTCTTAGGTTCATCCTCAGCACCAAAAACAAAACACAAAACCAGTGATTATTAGGTAAGGTATTGAAATCATAGGTTGACCTAGGTCAGTGATGGCAAACCTTTTAGAGCTTTCAGTGATACAAACAGCCCATTGCAGCATGCATGCTGTAGGTTCGCCACCACTGACCTAGATCAACTCTTCATAGACTGAAGTTTGAGGAGACAGTAGGATTGTTAAGTAGAACCATCCAGTAGCTATTTGGAGCTAGTGGCTTGGATCCCAGTAAGGATTAGAGATGTTAACTTGGCAGTCATCCCCACGGGGAAGCCAGATGGTTGAAACATTGTAGTAGACTTTCAAAGCCAAACCTCTAAAATATATTATCTGCGTCTATAGCTTCTATTTCTTGACAACCCATTCTTTTCATTTTAGTCCCCTTATTCTGGCTTCTACTCACTGCTTTCACACAAATTCACATGTATCCACACAGTTAGACATATATAACCATACATACACTCTGCTGAAATTAAACTCTTAGGCATTACCGATTATATCATTTGTTTTTCCCTATTTCTTATATTACACCTAATTGTGGAAAGGATTTGAAATGATGGTCAATTAACCATATAGTGCTAATTTCAACTAAGATTAAATTAACTTTATTTAAATCAAACTTTTTTTTGAAAGTACTGAGAATTGAACCCCAGGAGTGCTGAGCTATATCCACAGTCCTTTTTTATTTTTATTTTTTTAAATTTTAAGACAGTGTCTCCCTAAGTTGCCCAGGCTACTCTTGAACTTGCAGTCCTCCTGTCTGAGCTTCCTACAGGCCTACAACACCATGTCCAGCTTAATTAAACATTTTACTAAAACTTCATATTTAAATAAAAATAACATTTTATACAATTTTCATTCATACTAGGCAGTGTTTCAGTTTTGTTTTGTTTTGTTTGAGACAAGGTTTCACTATGGAGTTCAGGCTGAGTTCAGGCCCTGAACTCACTATGTAGCCCAGGCTGGCCTCGAACTTGTGGCAATCTTCCTATCTCAGCCTCCTGAGTGCTGGGATTACAGGCGTGTGCCCCTACACCCATCTAGGCAGTGTTTTGAGCCTTCATTACCCACAAATGATAAGATATATCCATCATCACAGAAAGTACCAATAGACAGAATATTCCCTCCTACCATATCTTACTAATGATCTAGCTTTTCATATTCTAGATTATAAGCCATTTGAGGGCACCACTTAACTCCTTTGTACCTTTGTAATGACCTATTCATAAAATTCTTAATATTTTTTGATTCACTGATTAATATCGGAAGTTGCCTGCAGTAGAAATAAAAACAAATTTTGCCTTTACCAAAAACACTATCTCTAGGCATTTTATACAATTTAGATTCTGACTGTATTTGCTAAGCAGTAATATCACACACAACATGAAAATCCAATCCGTATCTTAAGCCAGTCATTTCAATCATGGAAAAACATTTTCCCCTGAGTAATGTAAGTCATTCAGTTATCAATGGATACATATTTGAGTACCTTCTTGCCAAGCAGTAGGCAAGATGGTAGATTGGACAGATAGAAATGCATAATTGTAATGAAATATCATGCATGTTAGAACAAGAATATCTGTTGAGAGTACTTAGCCTTAGGAGCCAGCGAAGTTCTGACCTTACATTGGCACTTACATTTGGCCTTGGAGATCTTTGCTATCTCTCTTGATCCCTGAAATCCAGTTGCAATTTTCTTTCTTATTTAGTTGCCTGAAACCCGCCAACTCCTGTGGTTGAGACGGTTTGCTGGTGGAACAGCAGGTCTAGTGTTCCTTACAGCTCTCTCAGGTAAGACCCTTCTCATCAGAGATGGCCTTGTTTGTTTCACTTCCAGGTGGGATCTCTTGCCTGATGCTTTGCCCTTCCTCATGCATCTTCCTAGTTCCTTTTCATACTTGTCTCGTTCCCACCATCTTCACCATGTTGAGCATCTGCCTAGATCTAGCCTGTCCAGATTCAAATGTTGGCTTTACCACCTATGACCTGAATGACCTTGGCAAGCTGTAGAATCCTATGTAGAACTGAGGGCTTCAGTGAACTCCTCTGTAAAGTGGAAATGATGACTAGTATGAGTAACATATGTGATCTGCATAGAACAGGACCAGGCAGGTGTGAAGCAAAAGTTACATAAGGGTTAGCTGTTAGTTTTGTTTAGCATTATTATGATTATATTACACTAAGGTGGGTCAGGCAAAAGACCTTCCCTTAAAGATAGTCAAAGGTGGAGAGTTCATTGGAGAGAAAGACCAATACGTTTTGCTCATTAAGCCATGACTCCACTTTAACCTCTGCCATTTAGCACTAACAGCAGTAACTACACTAACAGCAGTATCAGTAGCCCCATTTGGTTAGCTAAATTAATTAAGATTAAATAGAATTTAGTTATTTAGTCACATTTTGAGTGCTTATGGCTATTAAATTGAACAGCACAGCTTTAGAATGAAAACGGTGTTGATTTAAACCAGTGATCCACCTAACCGTTGTCTTCTTTTCTCTTTTTTTCTCCTTTTCTTCCTACTTTCCTTTTGGGGGGGGCGGGTATGAGAGCATGAATTTTTGGTTTATAAGTGGCATTCACAAAATAAGTTGTATGATCCAAACTTCTGAATCTTCTTTGATCATAAACAATGACTCAGTCATTCATTAACTCACAGATACCCTTTTTTGTGTTTATCCAGGATTTAATGCATAAATTTTGAATTTTTGTCTAATTCTTATGTTCATTTAGCAGATATTGAGCACTTGGGGAAGACAGATAATACGCAATAAAACCATAATGTGAGCTGGGCACGGTGGCACAGGCCTATAATCCCAGTGCTCTGGGAACCTGAGGCAAGAAAATTGCAAGTTCAAGCCCCTCCTGAAACACTCAGCAGTTTAGCAAGACCCTGTCTAAAAATTAAAAATTAAAATTAAAAAAGGGCTGAAGGAGATGGGCGTGGTAGCACATGCCTGTAATCCCAACCTCAGGAGGCTGAGGCAGGATTGCCACACAGTTCAAGGCCAGCCTGAACTACATAGCAGGATCCTGAAAAACAAACAGAAGTCTGGGGATGTAGCTCAGTGTGAAGTCCCTTGATTTAATCCCCAGTAAAAAAAAAAAAGAAGTCAGATATTCAGGGCTGTAAAGAAAAATGGAACAGGATAAAGGAGTACAGTGGGGTAGAATAGAAAAGTGCCATTTTATATAAGACATCAGGAGAGATCTGTTTGGTAAGGTGACATTTGAGCCGAGCTGTAAAGAAGTGAAGGAAGAGTTTCTACAGATACCTGGGGGAAGAACATGTTCAAAATATATTAGCAATATTCAGTGGGAGTGTAGAAGACATCAGAATCATAAGGGGATTTTCCCAAAATAACATAGCCCTCCTTACAGAGCTTCTAGTCCTTGGAGACAAGCTAGAATCTTAGGTGGGAACATGTGAAAGATGCAGAGTGGTTGGGTTTTTAAGTTCCCATGGTGATTGTGATGTGTACTCCCAATTTGAGAGCCCCTGTTATAGATCTGTGATTCTCTGGCTAATCCCTTTTTCTGACTTTGAGATAATAGGCTTTTTCTGTATCTATTCTCATTTTAAGTCACACTTACCTTGGAATACAGGGGCTTTTGTGGCAGGGCTGGATGCTGGTCTTGTTTACAACTCCTTCCCCAAGATGGGAGAATCCTGGATCCCAGAGGACCTCTTTACCTTCTCCCCCATCCTGAGGAATGTTTTTGAGAATCCTACCATGGTGCAGTTTGATCACCGGGTTCTGGTAAGTGTGGCTAGCAGTTCCTGCTGCTGAGCACAGGGAATGGCACACAGGCTTTGAAGTGTCATGAAGCACTGATGACAATAGTCAATTGGCAGGGACTATATTTCCTGTTCTTTCTCAAGAAGCTCTAGGACCAGTTCTCTAATCTGGTGTTTTGTCCTTGTTACTCACACCCCTTCCACACATTCTAGTGCAGGATATTTCGAGTTTCTTTAAATTTGAGTATTCCTTTCCTCACCTGGCCAGTAATGACCTCCCTCAGTCCTGAACACAACTGGACAGTCATTTCAGCAGATACAAGGTTGAGAAAAGAGTGCATAGACTGTGATTGCCACACACATAGTTATCAAGAACTCCAAAGAGCAGGAGCCTCGCCAATACTTTTCAGTTTCTTTAAACTGATAGGTACTGAGGTACTGCTGTGGGCTTGGCATGGTAAGATTGGCTTGGCAACCTGTGCGTGGTGAATTGGCACAGCAAGAAGAAGCAGTAGTAGTGCTGTTGCAGTGATGCAGAGGAGAGTGCTGGGTAACAAGGCTGTGGAGTGGGAGGTGAACTTGAGCATAGTAAATCCAAGAGAAGTTTTAAAAGAAATAACAATAGAAATGGGACCATTGAAGTGAGTTTTGAGCTAGAGATGAGAGATGTCATTAGATCAAGGCATGTTGAGTGTGATATGATAATACATCTAGAGAGGTCTGGAAGCCTGAGATAGCCAAGGGGTCTGGGGCTAGAGCATGTTATCTTGTGTGGGCTCAGTCCCACTTCTACGCAGTATTTTGGCATGAATGAAGTTTAGTTGAAATTGTCATGGTGGACAGCTCTGCAAAAGACAAAATGTAAAATAGTTCTGGAAATATGGTTAAAAAAAATTCTTCTTGACATCATGAACAAGGAAAAAGAGACCTTATTGCCAGTCCCAGACCCTTGTTCTAAAGGGGCAGGAATGAAAATGAGACTGTATATCTTTTTCGGCAGCAGTTAGTAGCACTACCACCTAGTCTGCTTACAGCCCAGGAAAATAATAACCCTCATGTTTTTAATAATGTAGGATTAGAGATAATAGGCATAAGGATATTCTAAGAATGATTTAAAAAGTGAAGGTCACTGTGCTAGAAAAGTAGAATCAAGTCTGAAATAATGCCTTCTTAACTCTTCTACTATTATAGATATAGGACAATACTGTAACATACCTCTGTGAATGGGTTTATGATACGGTAGCCACTGTGCTTTGTCAGAGCATTTTCATTGATATTGCTCTAGAATGTTTTCTTTCCGGATAATGACTGAGAAGCTAATAAAAAATAGTGCAGGTTACCAAAACAGTAACAGAACTTTGCTGTTTTGGGGAGTTTTTCTTTTTTAGTGGAATATGCTGGATTTATCTATAATTTTGTTCAGACAACTGCAGAACCTGGGAAAGTTGTTGTTGCTTATGATGCATAATATAATGCTATTATTGGTCTTTTTATACAAATATGCATATGCATATATGTGTATGTATAATTTGAACTTTTGGAAACTTAACTGTGCTGTCAACTTTGGAAAAAGTATCCCAGTTTACAGTGTTGAGTTGCCATTGTGCAAAATTAACAGCCATATTGGTATGGGTTTGATTACAGAAACTAACAAAGTATTATCAAAATAATAAAGAAAGTGAGGGTCACACCTGGGAGACATCCACATTGGAAGATGTGTTAGATCACTGAGATAGAATACATGTGTATAAAAGTGGTACACACACTCTTCAGGGGAATCCCTGGATAACACTGACACATAAGTTGCAAGCAGAAGAGACTAAGGAGGAATAACTAAGGTGGAACTAGTTTCAGGGTGGCTGTTTTTTGATTAGTACAAGAAAGTGGTTTATGGTCACTTGGTGCTTCCAGAAGAGACATGTAATTTTAGTGGAAGTCCTGGCATGTGAGTGGAACAACTCTTGTGATGAGTCTTTCTTCCCCACAGGGAATCACTTCAGTCACTGCCATTACAGTACTTTACTTCCTGTCTCAGAGGATTCCCCTTCCTCGAAGGACCAAGACGGCAGCAATGACTCTGCTAGCTTTGGCATACACACAGGTATAAAACCACTTCTCTTTGGTCTGATGGTATCCCCCAGACAGTTAGAAAGGGAAAGTGACAAATTGGAAGAAAATATTTTTAGTATCTGTAATAGATTGAAAGATTAATAACAAGAAAATAAAGGGTGTCAATATACTATTCTTATAAGAGGAAATTATGGCCAATAAACATGACCTCACCAATAAACATAGCCTCACTCACAATCAGAAAAGAGGAAATTAATGAGTACTGTTTTTGTGCCTATCAATTTGGGAAGAAATGAAGGGAAACGAAAGAAGATAATCAGGAATTTCCCTGGGTATAGAAAAACAGATACCTTTAAATATTCTTGGTAAGAGTATGGGTTTTTATAACATTTTTCAGAGAGAAATTTGGCAATATCATTTAAGGTGATAAGTACATAATCCTTTGTCCTAGCAAACTGTGTCTGCCCTAGAAATATTCTAATGCACACCTAATGCTTTGTATAAGGAAATTCATTACAGACTTGTGATGGTGGAAAACTGGGAACAACGTAAGTATTAAATAACCATGGTAAATTTACTTTGGAATAATGTGCAGCAGCTTAAAATAAGATTTTAAGATATCAATTGTTAAGTGAAAAATAAGCAAGTGACAGAACAATATTTTTTAACAGCAATAACAGTATGTATCTTTGTAAACAAATATCTAAAAGTACAAATGTGTCAAAACTGGTAACAATAAGTATCTCTGGGGAACCAGAATGGCGTAGAACAGTGGTAGCAAACCTGTGGCACACATGCCACAGCTGGCTGTTTGTATTATTGAAAGCTCTAAAAGGTTTGCCGTCATGGGTACAGAGGCTAATTAAGGAGAATTTTGGGTTTACTATTCTGTTTGAAATTCCTTTATTGTAAGTATACTTGTATTATATACATTATCTATTTAGTGTTCTGTTGGGAGAATGTAGAGGTTTGTGTATTTGGTTATCCATGCCCATTCATTTTCAGTCTAAATTTGTGATTTCTGTTTTTCTTATTACTTCCTTCCTTTATACAGGTGATCTTGGGCATTAGCACTCTGCTAATGTATGTTCCAACTCCTTTGGCTGCCACTCACCAGTCGGGCTCTTTGGCTTTGCTTAGTGGTGCCCTTTGGTTTATGAATGAACTACGAAGAGTTCCCAAATAATTCGTAGAAGATCAGCTTCCTAGGACTGAAACTGGTTTTTTTTTTGGTACCGGGGATTGAACTCAGGTCCTTGCCACTTGCACAGCAGGCGGTGAACCCACTGAGCTAAATCCCTGGTGCCCTGAAACTGCTTTTGAGAGCTCACCAAAGAACACAGAACTTGGGCTTCCTATGAGGATGACCTTGACATGCCAAGTGGTTTCCCAATTGGTCAAGTTATTTAAAACTCTTTGCCTATTTTGAGACAGTCACTGGCTCAAGAATGTCATTAAGTGTGGTTATACCAGAGATTCCTTTTTAAATGTTACCTTCATGTTGAAAATCAGGCTTAATTGTATAGGAAGAAATGTCTGCTGTATGTTATTTCTTAATGGCCCTATCTCAGTTTTCTAGTATTGGCAGGCTCTTGGCCATATAAGCAAGGTTTCTCTGTCCTCATGCCCCTGGGTCCTCTCCTCAGTAGAGTCCAGCTGGTAGAGACAGTAATTGCAGAGCAGTGCCCCAGTTAAAGGCTTAAACCGTGACTGAGCACTGGCCCGTTGCTAAGGTGTGGGGTTGTAAGAGCAGGTTTTGTTTTGTTTTTTTAAGAAGCCAAATATTAGATATTTATGTGAAACCTCTTAAATGTTGGCAACTAATTTCAGGTTTTAAAAATGTAACACAAGTTTAACATGCAGAGTCACATATGACCTGAGATTGCCTATTTGTAATTTCTGAACTAGATAATCTCACTTCCCTTTCAACTCCAATATTTTGTGAGTTTCACTGTGACTCACAGTGTACCATCCTCAGATGTTCTTAGAAAAACAAAGGTAGACAGTTGTCTGTGATGTTCCAAAAATCCCAGACCCTGATGGGCTTATGCTATTGCTTAGACCTGGTTCCCAACTTCTCTCACATTAGAATCTTAGAAATCTCAAACCCCAAGCTTCATCCAAGACAATTAAATTACAACTGCAAACAAGAATAGGCTGGAGTTTCCAAGTGATACCAATGTGCATATAAGTTAGGGAACCACTGGCCATACTCTGAATAGCTGAGGTACCTTAGAAAGTTCTGACCAGCTTATTCCCATTCCTTCTGAAATTCCACCCTATTTTATCTCAACTTAATGTGCTATGGTGAGCCTGTGAATATGTTAACAGGATATTGTCTCCTCTAGATAACAGAATTCCTTAAAGAAAGGGAACTGCAGTTACTGGGGCAGGTTCTCACTCCACCATCTCCTGATCCCCTAATGTAAGGTCTCCTTAGTTAATAACTGAGACAGCAGAGGGCAGTATGATACAACCCAAGGAACCATATACTAATGCTTTTACAGTTCACTCCAGAAAAGTGGCAACTCATGAGTAAGTTCAAGTTTCATTTTACTTCATTTTTCTTTTATTACAGTTGAAGAATAAGTTTGGAAAAACAGATCCTGTATTTAGCTATATAACTGCATTATGCAATCTGTGAGCTCCTGGTGAACAGAGATTGTCTTAATTATTTTTGTATGTGTTATTCTCAGAGCCACCAGACACATAACAAATACTGAATGGAATGATTGTATGAATGAAAAATAAACAATTACAGATTGATGTCCCAAATATCTCTTCAAATCACATACTTATAGGATTAAATGATTTTCCCTTAATATTTTCAAAGGTCTCAACAATTCTGTCATTTTTAAACATGAAGGAAATTAAAACATGTATTTTAATCAGTCAACTCAATGTTTTTGTCTTTGATGTACATTGACATATGCTGTCCACTATGGCAGAAATAATGATTAGCAATTGCCTAATGATCTTGGTGTAAAAGTAACACTGATGACCATGGTTTTAGGACTAGTTTACCTGCAGCTATCCTTTTGGTCTTGGGACAAATAGTGGATTAAATATAGGCATTTGTAACATACACTTATGTTCCTGCAATAAGGGTGATTGTGTCACCTCTCTTCTAAGATGCATTGCACATTTTCCTCAACACTAACATAATGTCTGTCAGGATTTTAAGGATTATTCCCCAAAATTATTGTTATTTAATGTTAAGTGAAGCATTAGAAAAATAGTCTTTTTGATCCCCAGGACCAAAAAAAATACAGTCTTCACAGCCCCTTCTCCCCAAGCAATGCAATATAGGCAGCCTTCGGTATTTTAAATGTAGTAGCCAGGTGTGGTGGTGCATGCCTGTAATCCCAGAACTTGGGAGGCTGAGGCAGGAAGATCCCTGCAAGTTCCAAGGCCAGCCCTGGCTACATAGTCAAAGAACAAATTAAAGTGTGTAATATCTACTTGTGGATCACAATAAAAAGATGCCTGTCAGCACGCTTTGCAGAAGCTGTTGCTAAAGGTAGAAATGATGGAGAAGATGAACATTTACCTCAAAGCGTCAACTTAATGTGAACTGTGGAATGAAAATTTCAAATGCCGCATAACAGAAATACTAGAAATCAAAGAATTTGGGATCCCTACTGACAAAGACTTACGGAGTTAATAAGGAACAGACCTTTCACCACCAGTGGGACCACACTGGCAGATGCTCCCCTAGGAGAGAATGCTTAGGAAAGTACCAGGGATACCTTAGAGTGGTGCTGTAGTTTGGATCTGGACTGTCCCCCAAAGGGTCATGTGTTAAAGTCTTGGTTCCCGGGGTGGCACTATTATGAGGTGGTAGGAACTTTGAGAGCCAGGGCTTCAGTAGATCTGTAGGTCATTGCAATCATGGCAAAGGGATTGTGAGATTCTAGCTCCTTTCTCTACTTCCTGCTATCAGGTGAGTGATTTTGTTGCACCACACACTCCCACCATGATGTGCTACTTCACCACAGGCCCAAAGCAAAGGGCACCATTTAATCTTGGACTGGAACCTCCAAAACAGTGAAACTTTTTCCTTTGTATGTTAATGACCTCAATTATATATATGATTACAGTAACAAAAAGCTGACTGACAAGTGAAGGAGTTGTGAGTCACCAGAGGGTCATTCAGTGCCTGCCCCACTTAAAAAGGGCAGGCTCAGAAGCAGACATGTCTTCAGGCTTGCCTGATAGCATTCCTTTAAGGACTGCAAACATCTTGTGATTCACAACATCATTCAACTTTGGTTTTTATAAAAATAACAAGCAAAGATTGATCATGTAATTAAAATGAAAGCTCTTATAGCATGAGCAATAATTCACTTTTACAGATAAAAGGATCTTCTTATTGCTTAGATTTCCAAAAAACAAAATGGTCAGCTGGTGTATTTCTTCTCTGTCTCTATAATACCATTATTGACAATGTGGGAAACAATGAAATGCTAGGGGGAAAGGAAAATGTGTAGTAATACAAGGACAGACTTTTAGGATACAAAAAGAAGGAAAAGGCTTAAGATGAGGCTTCAACAAGGTGCTATAACTTTTCAACTTACATCTTTAGGAGAGAGAAAACCAACTACAAAGCCATAAGAAATACAGATCATTACCTAGAAGTATTTGATTTTAGATACATTCCTGTTTGCAGAAATGTTTGCTATTTTGTTAATCAAGAGAGCCAAAACTTAGTTTTGAGTCTTAGTTTTTTAACAGTATTGTTTATAATACCAACAAAATCCTCAAAAGTTTGACAAAAGCATATTGTTCTAATGGCAAAACAATGATGCTAGCATAACTCTCAAGAGACTACTTTGGGAGAATTTGAGACATCCATTGCTACTTCTGCCTTAATTCATAATCCCATATGGTGAAATGAAGTTATATCTTATGCTATAAAAAAAGGAAAATTAGATACTATTTCTAAACAAAAGACAGAAAGAACACCTTCAACACTGTTTTTGTAAGAAAGTCTAAAAATTGCCCAAGAATTACAAACAAGTTTCTTAATGAGGTAGCTCTACAGTAATAATAGGCATTATACCTTTTTTCTTTTTGTGGTGATCTTGATTGAACCCAGGGACTCATTCACATTAGGCAACCACTATAAGTATATTGCAGCCATTTTGTTGTTTTGTTTTGTTTTAATACAGGATCTTGCTACGTTGCCCAAGCTTCACCTCAAACCTCAGCCCCCTGAGTAGCTGGCATTCGAGGCACGCACACCATGCCTAACAAGCATTTATACTTTCATTTAAATTGTAACCATCATGTTAATTATTTGGATGCTGTGGCTAAGAAAACTGTGCAAAATTAAGCAAATTTTGCCTGAAAGACACAATTTAAAATGTTTAAAAAGAAATACAGAAACTAAAACGTGGTAAAAACTTAGCACTTTTTTTTTTTTAAAAAAGACAGGATCTCACTATGTAGTTCAGGCTGGCATTGAACTTACTATATAGCCCAGTCTGGCCTCAAATTCATGGTGATCCTTCTGCCTCTGCCTCCCAAGTGCTGGGATTATAGGCCTATGCTACCATGCTTGGCAACTATTTCTAAGTATTTCAAAGTGTATTCCTAAGTGTGTGCAAAGCAATCATAAATGAGGATCAGAAGCCTTTATAAAGATTGAGCACAGTTACTTGCAGCCAGCTGTACTATAGATTCTGCTGAAATATACACACAGATATTGTCAAGGAGCATTACATTGTAGCTGTCAAACTGCTGGGGGGGAGGGTTGTTTTAAGGGAGAAATCTAGGGTCCAGGAGGCCACTCACTGTGACTGCATATATTACGACTGCTCTGGTCCTCAATTATATCATCCATAAAAATCAAAGAAGGCTGACTAGATCTCTCAACATGCAGCTTCAAAACCCCCATACTGTCTCATCCCATTATGCTTCTGCCATGTTACGGTGCAGCAAGAATACTCATAGATGCCAAGCAGATGCTAGCCTCATGCTCTTGACTTCTCAGCCTCTAGAACCATAAGCCAAATAAATCTCTATTCTTTATAAATTAAAAAACAAGAACAAGAAAATTTCTCATCTGAAATTTCTTTATAGTGATTGCTGGTGGAAACTTCATTTCCATCACCTTAATGTCAGGGGCTACGGATAAAACAGGAAGCTCCTTCAGGTTGCCTGATCATCTAAACCAAAGGCCAGAATTCTCTCTGAAACTATATGACTTTACCTTGTTTCATGCCTTTAGTTCCTTCTCATGCCTAGCCACTTTTTTATCGACGAACTGAGCCAGAGAGGGCAACTGGCCTATGTACTAGAGCTAGAAAATTACAAAGCCAGGACTAGAGTCCAAGTGGACTATTCATTAAATACAGTGTTCCTTCCCTTAAATGATACCATCCACATGTCTCAGCCAAGAAACTCCAAATCACAACACTATGAGATGGCTGGGTGTGGGGGGGGGGGTCTGTTTAAATAATAGTAAATATAAGTTATTTGATTACAAAAATGTAAATATGAATGTAATAGCAAATGTTAATGCCTAAAAAGACTAACTTAGTGAGTGCACAGCAGGCTTTCAGTCAACATTTCAATAAGCTCTACTCAAGGCTTTAAAGGAAGCTTGCAGACTAAGGACAGGAAGGGGCAGAATACTTTGGATGACATTTGGAAGATAAATACAATTTTGGCAGAAAATGATTAAAACTTACCAATTCAAGGAAATTCAAGGATATAAGGTATAGAAAGATAGTATAGTTTGGCTTAGAGTTAACTGTAACGTAAGTAAATGTAATGCCATATAATTGATATTATACATATTTTCATTAGGTTCTAGTGACAATTCAGAGAAAAATGTTGGGTTGCACCATCATAAGATTAATAAAGCATCACTACAATAAGCCACTGACTCTAATTTTGACATTTGTGCTCTGTCTCAGTAATAACGAAAGTACTAAAACAACTCAGGTTCTCTGTTCCGGTTACCAGGAGTGGTTGGGAAGATTCAAGGAACCAATGGAATGTGAATTTTATGACACCATAATTATCTTCACAGAGGGACACTCAGCATGCAGAGATTCAAAAGGAAATCTTTAAAAATGGAAGACTAAAAGAATAAAAGTGTATTGCAAGATTGATTTCTGGTCCTATAAGTAAGAATATTTCCTATGAGGAACTGATACATGTAAGTTAATTGGCCTTCAGCAAAGAATAAATGGCTTCTCTTTCTAGCTAACGAGGTTTCATTAAATCTACTAATTGGGAGAAATGGAAGCAGCACAGGAACTAAATCCAAGAGCAAATTTTCAGTTCTTCTGAGAGGTATAATCATTTTCCTCATTTTTATACTACAGAACTTTGGCAAGTAATAAAAACAAGCCTAGGGCCCATATTAAAAAAATAAACAGGATATCATACACTAAACAAAAACTCAAAAACCAATTAAAATAAGAATCAGAAATATATTTATATTGAAAAAATGATAAACAAGTATCCTGAGATTCTCAACTATAAAAAGAACACAGTATCAATCTGCAAGGTTGCAATGATTAAATAACACACATAAAATTCTTAAAAGAGTATCTTGTACATAATTGCTTAACAAATGACAACTTTTATTACAAGGATGAAAGATACCTTTTCTAATAAGAGCTTTAAAATTGGACTCATCATTACCTCCCTGCTTCAACTTCAGCTTAAGCACACAACTATGATCACAGTCAATCACATAGCTTTTGACTAGATCATTGACTAGATCTGCTAAGGAAGTGAAAAATAGTAGTATTTGGAAACCATGGTGAAGTGAAGAGAAAAAGTTACCTGAGTAGGCATGGCTAGCAAAAACATTTTGACATTCTTAAACAACATTCACAAGACAAAGGATCATAGAATGCAATAATAAGTAAAGGGAAATGAAGTCTTAAAATTAAAGGAAATTCTGTGATATAAGCCCCAATGAAAGGTAAGATATATTTTATCTAATTTGAAAACAATTCAAGACTTACCACCTTTCACCTACTAATTTAGTCAGTGTACTTATTTTTGTCTCAGCCTTATTTCTAGGAGGATCTTTAATTTCTTTTTCACTGTTTTATGAAGGATTTAAATCCTTTTTGCTCTCAGTATGAAATTTATTTTTGAAGAGTTACACTTTTATTCTTTGAAGTCAGAGACCACTTTCTCTGTTTATCTAATCCTAGAAATCAGAGGCGCTGGGGATGTAGCTCAGTGATAGAGTGCTTGCCTAATATGTGCAAGGCCCTTGGTTCAGTCCCCAGCACTACACACACACATGGAAAGCTACTTTAATCATCTTGGAAGCATATTCATGGAAAGACACTCGTGGCTATGGCTATACCTTCCTATAAGAAAAGGTAATGCATAAAGAAGAATCTATGGGGGAAGGTGAAAGTTGATGAAAAATCCTCATGCAATGGGAAAGCTAAATGTAGAAGAGAAGCACAGATAAAGGGTAGTGGATGAAAATGTAATTATTATGGCTTTTCCTCTCCTCACTATAATGGAAGTGCTCACTGTGACTAAGCAATCTTTTAATAGATGTTCTGGAAGCTGCCAGGTGGCTTCTTAGGAAATTTATCTATTTATTCCAAAGTTTAGCATTTGCTGTCTTTCAGACATTCTAAGAGTCAGAAATTAAGAAAAAAAAACTTTTTTTAAAGCTTTGATTTTATGCCTTTGTCCACTCTCTTGATACTATTCTTCTTGTCTTTATAAATAACCCAAATATATCCTTTTCCAAACTACATATTGATCTTAGCAATAAAATTAAGTAACTCTCTTTGAAGCTGTATATAAAAATATGCCTATGGGACAGGTTCTTGAAACCAGACAAACATAACAGTTTCTCCATCCTAGAAGCACATTTAAGGCTCAAAAAACAAAATTAATGCCCAAACAGCCTGTGAGGCACCTAGACATGGGAACATTTCCTAGCCTAGTCAGACCACACATCATATAAAATATGGTTTAAGATTTTAATGGACCATCCATTTAGAAAGGATTCTAAATCTTTTAAAACACAGACCACCACCAACACTGTCAGGGGTCTTAGATCATACCCACAATGGCTTCTTTGTCAAGTAAGCAAGGAAGTCGTATCATTTTGGTTGCTTGGAAATTCCTATATGGTCCACCGAACTGCACAGATCTTGGATCCCTATTAAAGGCTGTGGATGTCCACAAAATGCTATCTCTGTTACAGAGAAAGAAGGGGCTGCTGCACTTGCTAGAATGTCTGGTTTTAGTTCAGATGCTTCACATTTGGTTTCAACCAAGCTTCCACTATGCCCAATGCCAAACTTGATGCTTTAGCAAGGGGGAAATTACTAGATCCCAGGAACACACCAGATCTCTGAGATACAGAAGCATGCTTCAATTGGACTAATCTTGGTCACCTTTGTTAGCACCAATCTCTAATCATGTAGTTCCTCACAGAATAAACTATAGTTTCTCTCTGAGAAGAGGACCTGGGTACTAAGGAATTAAAATGGAAATTAAAGTAGAAATTCCAAGGTCAAAGCAGCATCTGAGGCCAGTACAAAAAAAAAGTGGAGGAATTCAATGAGCAGCAACTCTGGGATACTTTAGTTTCTTCAGTTCTGGTCCAGCCTCATGGTCCCACCTGTACCCCAATCATTGGCACCACCTCTTCAATCCACAGCAAGTCCAGGGGAGCTGAGGCTCGAGTTTGTCGGTGGTGAATTCGGCGGAGCCGCAGAAGGTACAGTATAATGGCCAGTAGCACCACTAGGATACAGGCAAAAAATAGGTAATGGTTGTAGACAAAGGAGAGACGGAACCAGTTACCATGGACTTGTCGGGCGCCTTCCTGTCGAAGATCCCTAAGGAAAGTGGAAAGAACTGTTAGTTTCAAAGAGAAACAGTTACTCTGCTATGAAGGGCCTAGTGCTGTTAACCCATTAATTCTATCCACACAAACATTCTGACAGACACCAGCTCTGCAGAGCACACAAAGGTGAAAAATGTCCCTATCCTCAGGGCTGATGTGATTCTTTCTGCACCTGCCTTTCCATGGCCTACAGAAGGTAGCTTACAGGAATCTACCATCCAGAATCTCAGGACAAAAGTGGAAGGCCTTTGAAACTAAAGCCAAAACCCCAACTGAACAGAAAGGTAAGACTATGTAACATAAATCTTAAAATAATTTGTAAATATGGTACTATTTGAGAATAGGGTATCCCCTGAATTCAAGCAAGAAATCAGAAGGTACTGATCTTTAGAAGATCTTTAGAAGTTGCTGCATTTCCTTAGGATTTAGCATATATCTAAGTAAAGAGATGTAACCTGATCAATTATGTTATAATATGGAAAAAATAGATAACTTAAATTACAGTGGTCTATTGGTCTAGCTAGAGCAGAAGCCACTCTTTGGTTATCCAAATGTTGAATCCATTTTGTTTTGTTCAGCCTGTGGTGTTTTTTAAAAATGTGAATCTCTGGGCCAGGGATTTAGCTCAGTGGTTCCACTGCCTGCCTCACAAGCGCAAGGACCCGAATTCAATCCCTGGTACCGCAAAGAAAAAAAAAAAAAGTGAATCTCTAAACTGAAAGATTTCATATAAAATATGGATTTCCTGCCTTCTCTGGACAAAAGAGAATTGGAAAATGCTGGAACAGCACCTCTGCAGGACCTCTGTGCCCTTTAGTTGGGGCACATTCTGATTCATTACAACCCCCACATGCCCACTTCCCTCACTTCAGTCACCTGCCTGACTCCTGACAGCATAGAGGAACAAACATCAAAGATTAAGAATTCATCCCAGTTTATCTAAAGCAGTACAGGGGAAAGAATATCTAAAATTGTCCCAAATATCTTACAGGACCTAACAGCAATATCCCCCCTAAAAACACTTCATGTCTTTGTTCTAATCCAAGACCAGGTATTTATGGTTTATTTCTAGAATGTCCCCCAAAGGCTCATGTGTTCAGAGGTGGAGCTTTTGGAAGGTGAGTGAATCATAGGGCACTATACTCAACAGTGGCATAACCCACTGGAGAATTTATGGTTAAGTGTGTTGTCAGGAGGTGGTGACTGTCAGATGAGGTGGGTCACTGGAGATGTGGCCTAGAAGGGTATACCTCCCTCATGGCTCCTCCTCTCTTCACCTTCTGCCTCCTGGTCATGATGGACTGAAAACATGACCAGTTTTCCTCCACCAGAGCTTTCCACCATGCCCTTCCTGCCTTGAAGCCAGCTGGACTAACTTGAAGCCATCTGACTATGGACTAACTCTTCTAAAAACTGTAAGCCAAAATAAACCTCTCCTCCTTTAAGTTGTAGGTGTTGGGTATTGTGTCCAGTGACAGGAAAGTAACAAAGAGAAGTCAATGACCACTTTTTGAGTGACTCTACCTATTAGGAAAGCATATTCTATCAGACAGCCTCGCCCCCTTCTCTAGTCACATCATGTTTTTCCTGGTAATTTAACAATGACATTTCAGTTCATCAGTCAGCATCTTAAAAGTGGTTGGTAAGAAGTAAATCCTAAAAACTGATTTATTGCAGGTGAACAAATAAACCTGACTTCCTGAGACAGAAGAGCTAAGGAACAGACTCCAGACCAATAATTCTTTCTGTTTCAGCATGCCTAGTTAGAACAGTGGCTCACATAGATGTGATAATGGGAGTCTGCTTATTTTGGGGGCAAAGGTAGAGAGGGGCATCACTTAAACCTCTTTTGAAGGATCAACTAACATCCTCTAAGCTGAACATGTCATCATGATCAGTTACATATACCTGAGTGGTAAGAATCGGGTTTTATAGAGAATTGCTCCCAATGTCCACTGAACTTCTCGGTCATACACCAGCTGGGCTGTCCGCAGGTTTGGGTAGTCATAGGGAAAGTGGAATCCTTCATGTAGGACTTGGTACATCCAAGCTGACTTAAAACATTGATATCTGATATGACAAAAAAAATACATTTCTTAAGAAGAAGGAGAAGGCTTTTCTTTGCAACAAGCCACATATTCTCACTAGATGTGAAAAGACCTGTCTGTTCCTGCATTCTTCCTCACCTATAAGGTGAGCCAAATTTCAGCCTACTTTCTTACTACAAAAATGAAAATCGTTTTTTGGCAATAATGGTATTGTAGCTTTGGTTTCTTTCTCTTTCCTTCTCTCTTCCTTCCTTTTCTTCCTTTTTTATTTCTGAGTCCTTATCTTCAGAGAACATGCTGAAATAGCTACAAATACACTATATAATATCTAAGATTTACTTCAAAATAAGTCAGTTGTAAGGGGCAAATTGGGTAGGAAAAGTAAATAAAAATAAAATCAGCCAGGAGTTACTATTAGTGGCGAAGCTGGGTGAAAAGTGTACAGGAGTTTATTATACTATTTTATTTTTGTTTATAACTTCAAAATTTTTAAACTAAAACATTTACAAAATGTGAGGACCAATTAATCAAATTGGCAAAGTGTTGACAGTTGTTTAAGGTAAGTGATAGTCACGTCCTACTATTCTTTCAACTTTTCTGCACTTTTTTTATAGTAAAATATTTTTAAAAATAAAAAAGACCAACTATTTTGCTGTCAAATCACTTGGTAAGAACTCTTTGGTAACTACTGGTTTCCCTTGGCTTATGAAATTGGGTCACTATTCGGGCCCTGATCCCTCTGAAAGTCAAAATCTGAAATAATCAAATTCTCCTTTGATACAAAATCAAATCTGTACTAGTGCTTGATTACTCTCCATCATAATCTGTCATCCATATTTTAAGGCCATATCTACAATGGAAAGAAAGTGACTTACTTGAGTCGATGCTCATCTGCATGTGAAGAAAAGAGGCCATTCTTGAATCTCTGAGTTAGTACTGACCAAGCCATGCCACAGTAATCCTGGAACAACCACACAGAAAGAGTGCAACACAAAACTGGAGACAAACTCTAACCTCCTTCATGGTTACAGCTGTTCCATTTCTAGAGTTATTTGTGGCTACTAGCTGAGACCAAGGGAAACAGAAATGACACATTCATTCACTGAACACCGTGACATATAACTCTTCATTCCTATTGCCTCTTAGTATAAACACAGCCCTAATTCGCTTCTGAGCCTCTCAGGATTCAGAGAGGGCAAAAGTTAGGAACAGCAATATCAAAAGGCAAACAGAACTTCATTCTACTCAATGTAGCACTAACGTGATCAGGGAGAACAGGTAAAACAGAATAGTTAGAAACCTATCGAGAAAAATGGAAACAAATCTCATGTAAATGGAGAGGGGAAGAAGTGCTGAAGGGACGGGAGGGGAATGGAAAGAAAAAAACAATTAGGATATATTAGGTACAGGTACAAATTCCCTATGATGTGAGCACTATGTATGGCAAATATGTACTAATTTTTAAAAAAAGGATAGAGAAAAGAAGAAAGAAACCTATCATCAGCCTACCTGCGTGTTGTAATTCTCACCAAAAGAATCATTCCTTTCAATTTGTTTAGAAAACATTTGCTGACTGTGTAATATATGTTAGGTGCTGTCCTAGGTACCAGAAAATCAAGCAGTGAAAAAGGCAAAAAATTATTATACTTATGAAGCATACATTCTGCTGATAGGAGTCAATAAACAAATACAGAGGCACATCCTTGGGACACGAGAGAGGTCCAGGTCACAGGGATCCCCACCCCATCCAGCCCACGCCCACAGCAGCAATCCACTTAGCCTCGAGGGCGCCTGCAGGACACCCCACCCCACCCTACTCCCGCTCCTCTGGCCTCTTGGCTGTACTGCCACCTGGTTCCACACTACAGAGACACAGGGGACACCAGACCACCAGTACTGGGTAAGTTGAATCACCTCCCATCAGAACCTGGACTATCTTCAGAGGAAAGGCAGCTGGAACGTGCAGTAGAGCCTTGCTGAGTTCAACCCTACAGGAAGACAGGGAGTTTAACTTGGGACTTGCAGCCAGAAATCTGCCAGAATCTCACGGGTCTGCGACTGGCTTGCTGAGACTCATTGACTTATATTTGCACACTGCTGCCCACATTGTCTATTGTGACACCAGAGACATACCCTGAAAGAGGCCCTTCATTTTCATTTTTATTTTTTATTTCCGAAATTAGTATTACTGGTTTGTTTTATCTCTATTTTTAATTTTTTCCCTACTCTTTGCAAATTTTTGTTTTTCTCTTTTTCTTCTTTCTTTTTTCTTTTCTCTTTCCTTTCTCTCTTACACTCACACTCTTGCTGTCCCGCATTGTTCTTCATCTCCCTTTTTGTTTCTGTTCTGGCCCTAATTGAGATTTCTTCTTTATTTTTCTTTTATTCTCTTTTTCCTTCTCTAGCCTGTGTCCTCTAGCCTCACTGCTAACCTTCCCCTATCCTTCTACCTATCTATCCCTCCCTCCCTCCCCAACTCCTTCTAACTCCCCATCCCAAAGGGTAAAGTTGCTACATTGAAGAGTTTATTCACTATAAACATATGTTGGATTGGTCCTAGATTTTGATTTAATTCACACAGTTAAAGGTGATAGATTAATAACTACAACAAATTGGTATTTTCTAAGATGTACTTGATGCTATGGTGTTGCTGATTGTATCACTTGGGCTAAGGTGTTGGTATTGATCTAGTCAGTGGTCCTACCTGGTATAATGAAAATGAGATAGCCTCAGAGTCATTAGAGACTCAAAACTTAAAAGACCAGCTATATCTGGAAGACACCTCTGAGAAGCAATCATTCCATAAGGGTGCTAAATAGAAGCAACAGAGATACTTACAATAAGCAATTCTGAAGTATTAACCCAGGAATTAAACCAAGGACAGTACCAAAAACAAAAATGAGAAGACATTTAAGTAAGCCACAATCTCAGATTTCCACCCGACCAAGAGTAAACACTGGGGGAAACGAGTTGGAAAAGTCTGATAATCAACCACCTGGACACCCTGAACTGACAGCACAGGAAGTAACAAAACAGATGAATGAGGCTTTAGAAAAATTCAAAACAGAAATAATCTCCCAGATAACTACAGAGATGGTGAGCAGAGTGAAAGACATGATTAGAGGCACTAGAACAGAAACAGATTAAAAAATAAATGAGCTCAGAAAC